TTTTTTTTTTTTTTTTTTTTTTTTTTGGAGGCTGTTTACTGATTAACGATACGTGCCTGTTTTCGAAAGTTCGTCGTTGTTTTCTCCTCGAGTTATCGAGCCGTTTACAATCGACGGTGATCAACGCCGTTGCGATTTTATGCGTGTTTGAGCGGCGAGGAAAACATCGATCAAGGAAAACAACGTATACACAGGCGGGGTGGCACGTTTGAAAAACAAAGCTGCCTTAACTGTATGGTCACTTACGGTGTCTGGCAGTGTAGTAAGTCAGTGTTCGGTCAGACGCTCGCCCAGTAGAATCGGTCCGCGCAAAATCAGGCAATGTTCAGTTCTTCAAAAATATACGAGTTTCTGTTCTCTTCCCTGATTTTCAAATAATCTCCACTCTTCTTGGAGAAAACATCCTTATAAATTGCTAATCCTATTAAATTGCTGTGAAATACAGTCGCAGGATTTTTAAGTGTTTAAACAAAGTTAGAGCGTCTTATGTGTATCGTGTGATTCCAAGACAATGGCTGATTTGTTCGGTCAATCGTTTTATGGTGTTCTAAAAAAATATTCAAAGTCCTGATTAATTGAACATTGAAACTTCAATGGCGTGATAATTTCGGGAAATAAAAATTGATTCTCAAGCGTCGAGCAACAGTCAGACGTTGGATAGTTAATCGGTTGCAATACACATTTTCTGAGATTTTCTGATCCAATCTCTGTTAAAAGCTTCCAACATAGTATCGTAATTCCTGTCCGACGGTCGTTTATCATGTTTACAGCTACACGTACATATGTCTGTATAGCTTGGCTTCGCTTTAAATAGGCAAATTTCATCGCGTCTATCTTCTGGAAATTATATGATTTTTACTTGCTCCACCGGGATATAATAAATTTTAGCGTGCTCATAGAACTAAATTACGGATATTTATAAATATAATAATATATTCATGACTCTGCGTATTTGTGGGACACAGCTGATAACCCGTTGATGTATACTTTTATTGCGCGTGAACCGTGTTCGAACCGATGCATATATTAAATTTTGTTGAATATTTTAAGACGAAGTTAATTTAAAATTCTCGTTAAAACCGAGCTCAAAACATTCCCGATTAAGTTTAGACGAGGTAATTAGAAGCCAAACTAGACAGTCGCATTTACAGAAAATTTCCCAATTCCGGTATTAGAATAGACATACGTATGTTTAATTTTTCAGAAACTAAATGATTAACTTCGATAGAGTCAGCCAATTTGACTTTTACGCGGCTCGTATAAATTCCTAATAAAAGTTAGAAATCGAAATATTTATATTTTCCGATCGAATTGAAGATAATATAAAACTTTTTCTTCGTTTTAATAAGTCTTTTCTAAGGGAATCCAAAAGTAGAAAACATGCATAGGAATTATTTTATCGATTCAAATATTTCTTTTGTCAGAATTATTGCTATTTAACCTACTAGACCATACTTCAATCACGAATGAAAACGTAAACGTCGACTTTCATTAACGAATTAAATTCTCTTGTAGCATTAAACAATGATTTATTTCTGCATTGCAGGCTGCCGCAATGTGGCCTGGAGTATTGAAGTTATTGGTGTTACTAACATTCTTGCTACATCTATCAAGGTACGTTTCTCATCCATTCTTTGTCATTCAAGCTTCTAATTGCAGGAATCGATATCTTGCATTTAATAAACAAACTAGATACTTTGGAAAAATAACTGTAATCCGTTAATTTAATAATGTTATTGGTTAATAAATTATTGTGCAGGAAGTTCCAGCGAGCAACGTTTAAGCTATTCGCGATCAGAATCAAATTTTCAACTTTTAATGACAAATTCCAGCTGCTCAAATTTAAATTTTATTATCAATTCGAGGTCCAGAAAAACAACAGAAGTCTGAACGAAGATAAGATTATGCAATCAATTAAATCTGTTACTTCCAAGGGTTGAAATATAAATTTTGCATCAATTTGGTGTCTAGAGAAATGAACAAAATTCTGAATAGATCAATCAACACTATAATCTATAATTATAAATTTCAAGTTTTCATATATAAATAGATTGTAGAGTTTTAAGCACTTGTGTGAAATTTGAAGGTATAAGAATGCACACAATGCATATAATATGCAAAAATATGTAAGATAGATATGTAGTGGCACATGAGCCAACAGAAAATTCGAATTTAGAGAGACTCATATTATTATACCAAGTTGTACCAAGGTCTAAAGGCAAACGAGCTCCGAACAGATTGTTACTAAGATTACTGGTAATCTTCAACTGGAGTTACATAACAAATATAACTTTGAACTTCTTGTAATAAGTCCATCAATACATATATATGAACGTATTCCCTAGAACATAGTTGAATTGTTATTCTTTTTGCGATCTCTACTTGTACTTATACTCTGTACTTGTGCTCACACTGATTTTAATGTAACCAACTATTACAATTTCATCCACTCGTTGCATTATTAAATACACATACACGTTTAATCCACCTCAGATATATCATATAAAATATACAAGATAATCGAAGTGGTGTATTTATTATAGTATTTAATACACGAAGAAAATTTCTGTTTACATTCCGCTTCTTTCATTATGTTCATAAAAGTATAAAAGACGCATCAAAATGGGCATTCTACGTATAAATTATAGATCAATTTGATGTCTAGAAGAACAAAGGGATTCAAAACAAGCAGCAAGACGATAGAGTGTAAAAAAGATGTTATTTATATATTTCTTGTTATGATTGCAGATGTGCGCAGATGCAGAAAAAGGTGGTGAATTTCCGGGAAAAGGAGAAGGAAGTGTTAGACGACATTCTAGGACCAGGACGGTACGACGCGCGTATCCGGCCCAGTGGAGAAAATGGAACAGGTGAATATATGAATGTTCTTTTTTTACGTCCATTATTCCTTCCAGTCTTCCTTACCAAAAGAAAAAAAGAGAAAAATCGACCAATTATACCAACATTGTCATAAAGAAGTCGGATACGATTAAGAAGACAATGAAGCCTAAAAGTTTAGCTTGAATAAGCCTCGGATAAAAGGGTAATTCGTTTTGTCAGCTGTACCGCTTACAACAGCTCTAAATGAAATTCTATGATACTGTAATCTGATCAAGAGCCCTGCAACTGGTTATTTAGCTGATATTTTGTCAACGAAATCACGGATTAATTAATGCGCTATTCTAGTCGTCATTAAATAGTCCACGTTTTTCTAGAGCAACTTGCAAATGATTTGAAAAGTTAGAACAAGTGTTTGAAACATTCTTACGTATATTCCAACGCGTGTATTACTTTAATAGATACTCTGTTACTTTAATAGGACTAGCGAACAGAGAGTTTCGAATTATAATGTATATGAATCTTATTATTTTTGTGAAACATTCTTTTTATCGAGACGCCTTCAAAATTCTGCATATTCTAAATTTGTGCAATCTCAATGTTAATTTCTTTCCTCAAACTAAAGTTTCATTTAGTTCTCGTTTCCTACGTATATATATATTCCTATGTATATATATATATACACACACATATATATATAGAGAGAGAATTTTTCAAACTAATCAATACTCGAGCTTCACTGTGAGGCACTTGTTAGCGATTCTGAATAATCTAAAGCGATGTTGTCGGTTTGCCAGTAGAGTGACGCATTTGAGATTCCTATCCGTGAGAATTAATTGTAAAATTGAACTATTTACTAAACTGGAAGTGCCACAATTATCCGATCAATATACCATTTAACAAGGATATCATATTTCATAAAATAAGCTTTTAATCCTTTCTTCAGCGTGCGATATAGATAAATAATACTTTACTGGCGGCTGATAAATGTTTTCATTGCAAAGTAATTGGCTTTTCTCGTAAATTAATCATTTTCTACTTGAAACTTTTCATCTCAACCGTTCCAAAATTTATTTTTCTCCCAATTAGCTGTGTCACTCGTCTAGCAAACCAACGATATGCCTCAGACAGAGCTCGATTCCGCAAAATTTCGTGTTTAACTACAACCTGCCGTTGATTTGCACAATTCTTACTAACAGGCATAGTTGTCACTACTCAAAGAAAAAAATTGATAATATATATATATATATATACAACGATATGAAAAAGAGGGAAAGATCGAATGAAAGATCGAATGAAAACGCATTCGCAGCCAAGGACACGTATTCATGGGGGTCGTTATAGGCTTTACACCCGGCGAAGCACGTAAAACGTTTTAAGAAGTAAACGTGTCAAAGAGGAACAAGCTACTGTATTCGAGGTAACATCCCCGTTGGCAGTGTGCCGACAAATTGCAGGCGTGACGAGTTTTGCAGCGGATCGGGGAAACAAAATGCGTCCACGAACACGACTTTTGTTGGAATCGATACCGGTAGCAATGGTCAACGACGAACTGGCACACGATCCGCTGTTATTCCGTGACAGCGAGTACCAGATCACGTAAACGAATCGTGTTCATACACATACGGACGCTGGCTTCTATGTAGTAGAGAATGCACATGTGGAAATACTATCAAGCTTCTAGGAACATCTTCTTGTAATAGAGCAATGAAATTTCTCGAATAATTGGCATAAGTGATCTATTTTATCCTTGATGAGCTAACAACCTCGTTAATTTAATATCTACATTGCTTCAAATAATAGGGGAACATGCCATGTTTCAAAGTTATATGGTCGAACAAAATACATGATACCAGTGGCAATTGGCTTTTCCTTTTTTATAAATCCGAAGGTCAATTTTCTTTCTTAAAATAAATTTTATATGAATTCTGGGACGAATGTAGCGTAGGATGAATGCTTTCAGAATTTTCAAATAATGAGACGAACGAAGATACTGGAGTTGTTAGCAATCTTCTTTTGAGAGTTTGCTTTTTAAAATCTGCCACATTTTCTATGGGAACACACACATGTGATACTGTTACTGTTGCATTTAACAAATCAAGATTGTTCTCCGGATCCGCTTTACGTCATCTGTAAAGAAACGATTGCCGTCAGTATGTTTCTTCTTCAATCTTATAACTCTCACAAGTAATATGTTCATGTATTATTTGAAATAAGGAAAATGTTTTAGGTAAACGTAGCTGGTAGGACACCCACGTCTGTCAGAAAATAAGAACGAAAATTTAGATTTCTATTGGTAACATTCGAGATACTTTCATGTAACTTTATCCCTTTGGAAGATCGTTTTGATAATCGTTGTAAGTAATTTCATGAAGAGTATATTTTCACTGATACTCGTATTCTCAATACAGAGTGTTTGAAAATCATAGATTAGGAAAGTACAGAAGAATAGAAGATACATTTTTGGTCTAATCGATTTACATTCGTTTCTGTTTCACTTTTTATGTAACAACGTTTAATAATTATTATTAAATATTTGTTACAATTTCTTACTGGAAAATTCCTGAAATCTAAAACCGAAGGACTCAGGCTTTGTCCCGTAAAAGTAAAAGAGAAACGACGATACGTTTATTAGACTAAAATGTATACTTTCCTAACTAGTAATATTAAAACGCTATGTCTATAGCGCTGACATTGTCTCAGTATATTTCTGCAAAATAAGAATACTTGCAACTCGTCAAAATTTCAACACAATATTTCAAAAGCGGTAATTTAAAACGGTGAAACTTTTGATAACGATAAATAAAATATCTATCGTGTTGCACCAGGATTTATCGAATATGTACAAGTCACGTTAAAGAAACAACGTGAGGAGAACACAGGGATCAATTTTGCTTCTGTGTGAGATGGCAGTCGCAGCATGACGTATTTCACGTAGCCTTTCGCTTATCTGACAGAACAAGACAGGAGATCAATATGTTTATATATTCATTTATTTTTTTTTCCAAAGAAATTTGAATGCAAAGTAGTGTACGGTGGTAATCTGCCAAATTTCCATATCGTGAAGATATTAAAAATGGAGATAATGATGGAGTGAAGGAGGAGAGGAGAGATGGACAGGGGGATGATGCTGCCTTGCTAGGAAAAAAAGGATGATGACACTTGAGCAAGCGAAGGTTTATTATTTACATATCTTTTTCTGTTTATATTTTGTCTTTCTTATGCGAATGAAGTGGATGGAAATGTAGACAAGATACCTCTATTCATATGTATACACGACATGCATACATGATAGTATCTGAAAAAGAGTCGCTGTTGTGTCTTTATCATTAGTTTCCATTTTAGTTTCCTTTTTATCTTTTTGATACTTTTACAAATTCTACTATGAGTTTCCTGCTAAAGAAATTTGTCCTTTCAGTTGCAGCGGAGCTTTTAACCATTTTAATACTGGTACAAACGTTGACCACGTCAAACTAATGAAAGTTGTCCTACTCTCCTTGAACATAACTTTTTTTCTAAGGTTAGTTGAAATTTTGACTGATTGGTTAAAATCTACGTTTATTGAATAGCACTCTGCGTGATTCTTTTGTTTCATTCGTAGCCAATCTTCACGGATTTATTTAATTTAATTGAAGCAGATACTTGTCAACCCTTTCATCTCCAAATTACGTAACAGCCTAAGAACGTATCTCTGCAATATTTCTATCCAGAGAAACAAGCGATTTGCACAAATATTTGGCATAAAGCTTATTTGGAATTCTATCATTACAGTCTGACGAGAATAACACTCTATTTCATACGATTACTTTGTGAGAATGAAATTACGATCCTACTATGATATACGAATTTTTATCTCTCGTCTCAGCAAAATAAAAGAATAGAAATTTTAAACGCTTCGAAACCGAAACGAGAAGCACAACGACGATTCTTTCATATTTTCCTCGAAATGAAATAGTCGTTCGACGATAGAAAACTACAATTGGACAAAAATTGACGTAATAGGGTTAACAGGTATCGGTATCCAGGTTGTGGGAAATTTTTCGATTATTCTTCACAGTCTCTCTATTAGCCGCAATTTTCTTCCTCGCTGGAATTTCCAACGTTCTAAATTCCTACCAGCGAATCACGTTGCGAGCTAAGTTCGATTAGTCCTAATTATGCGCCCGGAACATATTCCATCTCGCGTAACTGTCTGCTCTGTACAAAACACCGTGTAGAATTTCAGACAATGGCATTGAACGCCTCGGAAAATTGGACCGCGAATTCCTATTGTTCGATAGGTCAGAGAAAGTATAGTATATCGTCGATAATTACAGTCGACTTCGTACCGCCTCGAGGTTCATGTTGTGTCACGAGGGTTTCTTTTTTTTTCTTCTTTCTCTACCATTTCCAGATGTACTCGTTGCCCTTTCTTTTCTCTTTACCATCAGACAGCATATTTAAAGAGCAGCAGTTTTCCCTTTTTTCCTGTTTCTCTTTCTTTTTTCTCTTTTTTTTTTTTTTTTTTTTGCGGCCACACCAATTTACAGCCACAGACGAGTTTCTAATTAGAAACAGGGAAAGATTTCGTTGCAGCTGGTAGCTATGACTGAGAAACACAACCGTCTGCTTGTTAATCATTGTTACACGATTGCTTCTTGTACCGTACTCGAGCAAAGGAAAACAGAACGAAATGGGAACAGTTTATCGGGTTTACTCAAATGGCAAGCGAAGGTAAGATAGCAATTCTATCTATATTCTTACGATGGATCGAGTAACTTACGATGAAACAATTAATCCAGAAGAATAACCGAAATGTTTTAACAGCGGAGTTCGTTCCGTGTATATGCTGATACGGTTATATAATTAAACACGAGGGATAGATAAAACAGTTAATGCGTCTAAATAGATAAAAGGTTCCAAGTAAATTGGAGCAGATAATTACACGTTTATAATTTATCGTAGTTACATGTACTGGCAGGCTGTTTCATGCAGCGTGAATAAAATTTCGATAATTCTAATAAATGTTTACCATTGCGAAACAATATATAATGAAATACCTTCAAACGTATGGAATTTTTAAGGAAAATTCATAATTTCTTTCGATTATAGATCATCGAGAATGCACAGCGAACAAGCGTACTTTTACTACACCCAATGTAAGAGCGATGGACTTTTATTTTGTTATCTTAATAATATAATAGTTTTACGATATTGCTGCTGATATTGCAAGAACTTTGATAATATTTCTCTAAGTAAATACCATTGAAAGTTCTTTGGAAATCTCATGAAACAGCCTGTATACATGAAGATCTATTCTTAATGTGAGAGTCCGATTACCAATCTGTTTCGGTATCTGTGTCACAGCACTTTGCCCGTAGCTTCCGAACGTTCTAGACATTTAATCCCCTAATCCGTAGTAGAGACCTACACACCGTGTACTTTTTCTACTTGTTACACGAGCACATCCGAATTCTCGATAAAAATGAAACAAGCCTACTTTGGTACAACGTTCCCGTATATGTGTGTATCTAGCCACAATGTATGGCACATACGAAATGACTACAATCCCAGCGATTAGGACAACTTACAAGAAGTCTACACGAGGAGATGGTTCGAAAAAACGATTGAGGATTTTCGTCTAATTTTCCCCCTACTCTGTCCCCTTTACCTCGACAACCCTTACGAAAGAAAGTAACACGGCCATTCGTAGGAAATTTGGAAAAAAAGAGAAACGAAAAGAACGCTCAAGGAAACGAACAAATTTTTGGTAAACGAAAGTAAATCACAAAAAAAAAAAAAAAGAAACAAATAAAAAGACAAAACTATTCCAGTAGAGTATTGTAAGACACGAAAAAAAAAATTGACTGACTAAAAGGGGGCTCTATTGTTTTTGCCCTTAGATGGGCCGGCCATTGTCCGGGTAAACCTGTTTGTGCGAAGCATTGCGACAATTAGTGACATCAAGATGGTAAGTATACATTAAACCAATCCAAAACTCTTTACAACGCGGTGCAATGCCATTTCTCTCTTGGCGGGTACTGTTTCCTTATTTTTCTGTTGCTTGCAATGATTAAAAGTAGGCGCAATGTAGGTCTTAGAGTCTCGATAATCAATTTCAGAAGCAAAACGAGAACCCAAAAAAAAAAAAAAAGAAGAAAAGAAAAGAAAAGAAAAAAGTAAAGAACGTACAAAAGAAAAGAAGAAAAGATTGTTGAACAAGGCCTCAGCATTTACGCGAACGGCGACCATAACAATGGCAGCAGGCCAGCATCTTGTCCCTTCTCCGTTACCATTCATTATTATGTCTACACTATCCGTTTCTTGCCAGTGATGCCAGATTTTATAAGAATTTTTCTGGGAATTGCGTGTTAATTCGACAGAGAAAATCCGATAAGGAATCCTAATTGTTGATCTTGCGTGCGATTTCTTACGACTCCAATACAATATCATAATTCGAATAGGTCTTTTTTTCATTCAAACAGAATCTTTTAATTCGACAGAGAATTATGCGAAAATTTGTTTCGATTGAAACAAATGAATCATCATCCGATAAGTTTTTCATGCAACTGATTACAATTCGAATAGAGGAAATATTTTTAATTTCATAGAGAACGATGTGAAAATTCTATTCGAATTGAAATGGTAAATTCGCTCGATGAAATTTCGATTGGAATCGAATTCTACAGTCGTGTGGAAATCTTCCATTTATATACGCCAATGAATAAGATTCCAATACGATATACGAATTGCTAATGGTACGTAGGAACAGTCGTTAGAAATTCGCACGAGACCTCTGTCGGGTTTACCCTCCTGCTAGAATCGCATTACGTCTAACCGATCGCAAAAGGAAGTTTACATTAATCGGAACATTAGGAAAGATCTTTCTTTCTCTTTCTGTAATAATTGGGACAGCGATCTTTGCTGATGCTCTGTGGTTACAGTCATACGTACGAACATTGTCCGGAAATTCAGTCATTTCATGTATGTGAAGAATCGCCTAGTCTTGATGTAATTTACCTTACCGTGTGTACACGAATAGACATTTCTGCCACAGAATTACTCGATCTTCAACGAAACGTTGTTGGCCGAGCTTACGTCTTGTATCGCCGTACGTAAATGTTGATAATCGTTGGCATTCAGGAGCGAAGCCAAAATCAATAAAATATTTCTTGCCAGTACCAGCGTGATGGTACAAGACATTATCTCGATCAACGGTTTCATTTTCGATCGAATAATTCTATTCAAAAATAGTTCTTCAGAAGTATTCGGCAAATGGCCACGAAGGAATTTTCACGATTATCAATCATACAAATATACGATTCTAGGCACGGAGGGTGTCCTTCCCGAAATAAATTCTTCGATCTGGGAGCACTGTCGCGCGACGCTCGCCATAGACCCCTTCGTAGATTCTGATTAAAAGTCTTGTCTGCTCCCATCGATCTCGTCTATCACTTTGTTGATTATCACCTGCCGCCTCCCCCTCACACCCGTTCTCTCACAGCCAGCCAGATATACATATTAATCAATATCTGTTGCCTTTATTTTTCATCTGTGTACAATATTGATTCTCCCCTTTAATTTAGAATGACTGATCACACACAAAACCAATTAGCATCTCTAGCATAGATACAGGCATGTGGCATTCTAGCTTCGATGTTCACGTATGTACATACACAGTTTATACGCTATACATAGGAGCACAGACGTTGTTGCAGTGGGAGAGACGAAGAGAGAAAAATGAAAGGTGAAGGGAGAAAAAGAGACGAAACGGAAAGATAAAGGAGGAGAGGGATAGGAAAGCGAGAAAAGAGAAACGAGAGGAGAGAGAGAGAGAGAGAGAGAGAGAGAAAGAGAGAGAGAGAGAGAGGGAAAGATAAGAGAAAAGAAATGGAAAAGGATTATATTGGCAGAGTGTTTGGTCTCATAGGTTCCCTCCAACTTTTTCATCCCCGTTTTTCGTAGTTCCTCATAGTGCTTGATGACTTAGTAATTACGTTTTGCTACGTTTAATTGCGTTCACGAACAATCAGATACGTCCGGTTTTACTTGTTCTACCTTTTCAACGTGTCACACGATGTGAGTACACACAGAGGATCGATACAATTATGCGTGATTCGTGAATTATTTTCCGATCAGAGGCGGTCCTGACAAGTGGTTCTACGATAGGCGAAATCACACGTTTCACGTAGCTTCGTGACGAATATACTTGAGACGAGGTTGCGACGTTCTGCGAATTTTCTGCATGCATTTCGCGCCAGTTGCAACCTGCGTCAGGATATTGAGAAATCGGAGAAGGATTGTAATTTGAAATTTATCATAGTCTGTCTGGACTATGATCGAGACTCAACGATAGAAAAATGAATTAATAGAATGTACAGGTGTAAAGACACAGGACTATAACGCGTCCAACCGAAGTATTGAAATTTAATGAAACTAACAGTACGTGGAAAGTGAGTCAAAAAGATTTATTCGAAGAGCGTCGAGCAACGAGAATGTTTTTGATTCACTGTGTCGACGATCTCTGTTTTACAAAATGCATTCGATAGAGACAACGATTCAGAAGAGAAAGCTATCCAGAAGTAATGCACAGAGTGCATTTGTTTCAAATTTTCGATACCGGAACACGAGAGTCTTTTATGCTCACGTAAACCTCCTGTCGAATTTCCATATTGCTAAATACAAGGCTAAGCCGCTTCTTACACGCGCGCTATAGAATGATTTTCAAAACTCGAGAAAGACATTCGAAGATTTGAAGAATCATTTTAGTAGCTCTGCGTTTCGCTTTAAAATGCAAGATCGAGTAAGACGCATTTATTTGTTTCATCCTTTTTTTTTTTTTCTTAATGCTTTCTTAATCTGAGAATAGTAGCATTGACGCAAATTATGTAAATTAAGGATTAGTGAATGCTCGACACTGACTACAGGAACAACGTGTCCGACGTCTTGTCCTGGTTCATGTAGGGCGGAATGTTACGCAAACACTCTGTATGGCTCAGGACGATACGCCTGGCTCGTCCAACCAACAAATTAACTCTTAAACAACTTGTTGAGATTGCCCACGATATAACAATCGCACTCAGTTATATCAGAAGCATCTAACGTGATTCAGTTTTTCAAATTGTCTCACAAAGATATCCACGTATTACACGAAACAATACAAATACGAATTTGTGGAAATTTCTATGAATCACCCGCACAAGACGATTCGATTTTTACTTGTGTCTATACTCGCTTGATTCCAAAAGTCGTAATATTTCCTAGATATTTATCGAGAATGTTCATCAATTACGCGAAATGATTGAGATTTTCTGTGAATTCAGATTTCATTCATAAGTCGTTCAAATATTTGTCAAGAATATTTGCGAATAAAAGCGAAAAACTAATCGGTCTCTTCTTCGTTTAACGCTTGTACGCGCGAGAAGTTACTTTATCTTGTTACCAAGAATTATGTACACGAAATTAATAAGGAAGACGGCAATATTACACGTATGCTTGTTCAATATATACGAGGATCCAAACCAGGAGGAAACTATAATTTCCTGCAGCTATTCTCGATCCACTGAACTTGAAAATTAAGTACGGCAATTCTGCCACTGCTTCGTTTCTTTAAATGGTAAAACCATGTTCTTAAGGATCCGTAAATAATATACAAGATGTTCACGTTATTAATTGTCAGCATTTCTTTGTGAGAAACACATACAATGACAAGTCTCCTTTTATTTATTTATAAGTCAATGATCGTCTTCTTTTATTTTTCTCACAAAAAAAAAAAAAAAATAACGCTCGGAGCTAATAACTTGAACACTGTGTATACACGAATGAAAAGTTCTTATAAACGCTTGTAAAATTCTTAGACTCTCGATATACTTATATGTTATATTCATCAAGTAAATGGTTCCTTAACTCATTCTTTCCACTTCTTTTTTTTTGTTTTTGAGTATCTATCTTCTTTTCTTCTCTTTGATGCTTTTCGTTAATAATCTGTATTTCCACTAGTTTGCTTTACGATTGATTAGTTCGATCTGTTTCTCCCCACCGAAGTTATCGTTCATTTTTTACTACGATATGTATATGTATAACCAGTCATACGAAACTTAAAGATAGTTCGATGATTTTTAAAAATCGAATAATACGAATCACTCGAATCAACGATTCACCACTACTTTTTCTAAGAAGAAATCTAATCTCTTAAAGCGAAGAAAAAGAAATATTCGTAATAATATTGAATAAAGTACAGAGAAATACTAATAATAAATTAACGACGAAAAGAATATATAACTTCCAAAAGTTTGCCCGTTTGATTGCAGGAAGCGCAGAAAGCGTAGAAAGCTCGAGAAGCGTTTCTTTCTTTTTTCATTACATCCCTTCGATGCGACTGATATTACTCAACGATTGATTAATTTTATTTATTCTGTTTGCTATGTTAGATGGGCCCGCGGTTGTCCGCGTCAACATATTTGTTCGAAGTATCTCAAAAATAGATGACGTTACGATGGTAAGTTAAATAAAAAAAAAAAAAAATATCAAATGCCCTAAAAAATCACAAACACACGCCTACACGTACCTCTATTATATTATATATACATACTACTAAGTGTTGTACTACTAAATGTTGACTGTACAATCTGTATGTATTATAAATACAGAGATCGATATATATATATTATGCTATTATACACATAGAAGTCGTTCTCCGATTAGCTAGATTATCCCAGCAACTATGGAATTGTTATATAATTGTTCGTCGTTTTTTTCCAAATATTCGCACGATTTCCGATTAGTAGACTCACTTTTCTTCCAATTGTAAGAACGAACTTGACGTATATCGGTTCCTTTCTCCGAAGAAGCACTCGTACGAAAAATATGAACAGAGAAAACTTTGTCTCGTGTCCCGCGTGTTTAACAAAATCGATGGCAAATCTACGAGATTCCTAGTATACTTAGTCGATCGACCATAACAAAAAAAAA